CTTTGCAAGGTGATCGATATTCCTGCACGACTCTAGGTAGTTTGTTTGTTATTCTCTTGTCTTTACAAATTCTAGTGTGACCTCAGCAAACGAACTAAATGGAATTAATTTTGGGCTTTTTTACTTCTTTTTAGGTCTTCACGAAGCAAATCAGCCTGGAGGACGTTCAGCTTGTTTCGGAAGACGGAAAATTCTGAACATGTCAGCGGTGGAAAGCATGTTCACAGCGATTGTCATCCTCATTCTTCTGGTTTACCTCTGCGAGGCAGATGACTCTGAAATTTGGAGAGATTGTGACTGGCCGGAAAATGCACGTCCTTACGATAATAGTACCTACGAATTCTATTGGAAGCATGAACGATCATCGATACGCATTTGGTTTGTGGCTGACGTTGTTACTCTGATTTCCATGAAAGTGTATAAAGATGACGACGGCACACTTCGTTTTCAGTGCTTGATTGGCCAAGATAGGTGTTGTCCGAGCAAGGGCAAACCGAAACATTGCACCGACATGTTACACTGGGTTCCGTACAGAAATGGTAGGTTACTCCACTACATTTCTCCTACATTTAAATATTACTCCTACACCACCCGAATAGAATACACAGCCCCCTACGGCCGTGTAGTCCAGATAGATTGTCGAAATTATAATGGCTCACTTCTCATTGGCTGTCCGGAAATAGGATTTAGAGGACACTGGTCCGCCCCATATAAATTTGCGGATATAATATCTACTCCTGAGACCCATTCGATTACTTACGATATGTTCGAGACCAATGTGTATTTAGTGGAAGGATCGATTGTCCAGATGGCAAATGTGGCATCATGGCAGCCAAAATTCACCGGAATGCATCTTGTTCAATATGGTTACGATACTACTGGGACAAATATCACTTGGAGTAAAGCACGTCCGCTTATAGCACACGACTGGGGAGCACACCTGAGCGACTTCTCAGATAAAATCCGGTTTCATCCCTTGAAGTCCAAACTTCTTAGGACAAGTTACTTTAGGTTCAGCTGGTGTGACTGGGCAGTAGCAGCTGTCCTAATAGCTTCCAGAGACGAAAAAAATGTGCTCAACCCTATTCACAAATTTATGA